GAGAGAGAGAGAGAGCGCGCGTGAAGTAAAGGCGTCTTTTTGTGCAATCTATAATAATATTGTAAATTGAGCTAAGAGATAGGAAGAGAATGCATTCGAGGATTAAGAGAGAAGAGAGACTGTACTCGTGTCGGACAACGACCTTATTACTTTTTTGTAGTTGTTCAATTGTGAAACGAATAAGATGGTTAGACTCATCGACCTTTTCCGGTGTAAAGTTTTTTGATCGGGCGGGAAAGGAAGAGGGAGGACATACGATATTGCGAGGACTGTTTGAGGACGACTATCTCTTTTTTACCATCGCATCATTGGGACTAAGACGATTTTCCAAATTGTGTTCACGAATGGAGAGGCTGTTGTCCAGACGATGCACGTTTCTTAACGTACAGCACGGATATGCGTTATCTCGTTGATTGAAATTGTTCGACGGCGTGCAGTAATTTTATTCCGCGTACCTTTGTATTTCTAACTGGTCGAAAATTTTCGGCCACAACGTGACAAATTTACATTGTAAAGTGTATTGCATTGTTTCTTGTTATTTTATGAAAGAGGCGTAAGAAAAGAAAAGAAAAAAAAAAAAGAGGATGATTAATGACTGTCACGGCGATTGTGTAATTAGTTGATCCAAACGGATCATTATGTTGATTAGCTTCTTTTCATTGGTGTCGGAAAGATGAACGGAAATGAACTCTAAAACGTGCAAGGACGAGAACAAGCGAGAGATCTTAGGCTATATCGTCGCATCTAAATGCATATTTAATTCTGACTCGTAACGATCATCGTCTAAGATCCATTCAGAACACATAGTACTATGCTGGACCTGATTACTGGGAATTTTCAGAGAGTTTCTTACCGGTGGACACTTGAATTCCGTCGAGTGGCGCTGGGATTGTTTTATCGAGGGAGGCGACTCGCGAGACGCGGAGATATCCTCCTCTGGTTCCTCGAGAGCTCAAGGACACACTGGGGAAATTGTCTCGTCTGGAAGTCCCTTAAGGATGTACCCTAACGTACAACTTAGTGTACGTCCAAAGCCATAGTGCCTACAAAATAATGAGATCATACCCTTCTGCAATTGTAAATATCTTACGAACATAATTATACAAATGTAAGCACACAAGACACGCATGTGCATATATATACATATGTATGTGTTATATATGTAACATGTCGCATACATCTATGTTACATGTGATATATATGTAATATATGCATGTATGTATGCACGCATGTGTGTAACAACGTAATGATATAAATGGACAGATGTGCTGCGAACATCTCGTTATATGTAATTATCGTAAAAATATCGATTAGTTACTTTTAATATTATTAATATTATTAATTATTAAAACATTAAACAAAACAAAATGTTAGTTTATAATTTCATTTATATATATATATAAATATATATAAATATATATACATATACGTATATGTAATACGTATTTACATTTATAGCGAACAAACATTGTGCAGGATAACAGAACTGCTGTTGCATGTTGAAGCATTTGGATGATTTCCAGCACCCATTAACGTCAATAATCGATTATGCCATATGATTTTTTTTTCACAATTATGTTTCAAGACGTAAGAGATATTGTTATTCCACGTGTGACATTTTATTTTGTTTCGGATTAGATCAGCTTCTGGAATATTTCGATGAATTCAATATATTGATAAATGCTTTCAGTTTTCAATCAGCTCAGTATGGATAAATGGTTTCAAAATAATCCCTCATGAAAATCAAAAGGAGCCTTTGTTACGGTTTTATTTATTCAACATCATAATTACGGATTGTTACTTTGCACAATGTTTGCCGCAACTCTCGTTCGCGACAACCGGTAGGAAGTGTAACACTTGTTTTCATTTTTCAATTAGCCGGCGTCGAGCGCTTTTTTATATGCCACGAGAAGGTGAACAGGAAAGCGGAGCGTGTGCGTGTGTGAGTGCGTTTAAAATATGAAAATGAGAGTGAAAGAGAGATGTAGAATGTGCGCGTGCATATGTTTGTATTCAAGTGTAATATCGAGACACGTTAAACGCGGATGGGGTTATTAGGTCTTTTGAATATACCAGCGAAGAGCTGCGAGATATTTTCTACCTGAATGTTTACGGTGCGCCGCGAGGCATACATGAACAACCAAGACGATGGCTGGAAAATGGGAACATAAGCAAAAGCGGTATTTTCAGAAAAAAAGAGAAGTGCATTTCAAGTTTTACTCTATTATATAGCATATCTAAGGGAAGCTCTGCAACTCTGTTGAAGGACTTTAAGATCAAAAAGATATTCCAAGCGTATTTATTTCACGTGTTTTTGCTTGTGTATATTTATGAAATTGTATATTCACATGGCCGTGGTTTAGACGCATTCTCCGAATTCTGCAACGCTTTTTTATAGCAACTTGTCGCAAGAAGATAGCGCGCGTCGTTTGATTTTTAACTCGATACTTGTGCACTTCGCTTATAATGGTCTTTCGAATAACGCTTCAAAAGCGCGGTTTAGGCTCACCGGCTCACGCGCAAAACCTTTTTATAATTTATGTATAAAAATGTATCAGTATTGAATATATCGCACGAGAGATATTTTCTGTTGATAGAACGCAGTGCATGTATGGCTCGTGTCATTTTAAACTAGTTCTTTGTTTTGTTATTCTTGATAGAAGAAAAT